ATGGAGTCAGAGTTTGAGTTCCTTCGGGGTGTAGTTTCCTTGGTTGATAGAAAAAATGAAGATGCTTCTTCTGAGCGGGGATCTCATTTGTCCCCCAAACCCTCTCCAGCTTCATCACTCCACAGTGCCTCCTTCAAAGTCGGGGAGTCATTTGAGGATTGCCATGAGGCAGAGGGAGAAGCAGAGGGAGAAGAGGAGTGTATTTATGAGAACGATGGCTTCCGCCCCTTCAGGGAGCCCCCAGAGAGACAGTACAGCAAGGACTCAAACTCCTCCAAGACAAGTGTCTCCTCAGAAACTGGCAAGACTCAGAACCCAACATCAAGTGGATGGAGACCTGCAGCTAACAGACTCAAGATTGACTTGAATGGGACTCCATTCACCAGTACAAGCAAAGCTGAGGAGGCATGCAGTCCTAAATCCGCCTCCACTGAGTCTACCCCAGATCTGTCAAGACCTAAGAAGGACCAAGAGGAAGGCAAGGCATCGTCGTCCACCAAGCCCTCTTCAAAGCAAAGGCCAGTGGTGAGACCAAAACCACAGCTAGCCAAGGCATCCAGTTCAGAGAAGATGGATATCAGCACATTGAGAAGACAGCTGCGGCCAACAGGACAACTAAAAAATGGTATCAAAGCTAAAGGGGAGGACTCTGAAACAGCTTCAGTCATTTCCTCCGAAGACTCCTTCTCATCACAGAGCACATCTGATATCTCCTCCACCTACTCGAAAGGCAGCCGAGGGGATTCTGACCTGGAAAGCTGTAACGTCTATCGCACTACAGATCCATATGAGAAAGTCCAAGAGTCTGAGCTTAGCTTCCCTGCTGGAGTGGAGGTGGAAGTGCTGGAGAGGCAGGAGAGTGGTTGGTGGTACATTCGCTGGGGAGATGCAGAGGGTTGGGCTCCAACTTACTACCTGGAGCCTGTCCGGCAACAAGATTACATGGCTGAGTCTGAATCCGATGGCACCCCGACTAAACCTGGAAGCCTCAGCAAGTCTAACAGCCTGGAAAAGAATGAACAAAGAGTGCGTGTGCTGAACAACATCAACCAGAACCTAAAGAAGTTTACGCCACCTATTCCCTCTAAGCCTCCCGGTGGACTCTCCAAACCAACAGGTTTGTTTGGCTCACTGAAACAAAACAGCACCAAACAGCAGCAGGTGGTCAGACCTCAATCTGTCTTCATCTCGGCCCCGATCAGAGACGGTCCAAACCCTATTGGCTCTCTCAGGAGAAATGAGTCCCTCAACTCAACGGACCATCCTCGCGTAAGCCCTACTGTGCGACGCAATGCCTCTTTTGGCACTGTGCCTCGTACCCTGGCACCAAATAACATAGCATTACCCAACAGAAATCGATCTGGTACAGGTAGCTCTGACTCTCTGGGCCTCAGCACTCAGAAGAACACCCTCACTGTGTCCACAGTGAAACCCAAAACTCACATCATCCATAACAACCTCAGAGAGGTTTATGTGTCCATTGCAGATTACCATGGTGATGAGGAGACCATGGGATTTCCAGAGGGGACAAATCTTGAGGTTCTTGAAAAAAACCCAAATGGCTGGTGGTACTGCAAGGTTCTGGACAATGGCAAGCCAAGGAAAGGATGGGTGCCCTCAAATTACCTCGAGAAAAAGCACTAGCACTCATGTGTGGAGCAGGCAGTACTCTGGATATGTGTGTAAAGACTACTCTAACAGATGCATTTATTTTGTGAATAGGGAAAAACTGGTACATTCACCAAAAAAACAGATAAAATGTGATTAAGAAATTCAACAAAACATTTACTGAAAGGAATCTATACAGCAAAGATTTTCAGAACTTTCATCAATACGTTGGAACTTAAGCCAAAGCCAAAGAGAGTACCAGAGAGAAGAGTGAATGACTTTTTCTGTTTGAATAACTTGAAAGTTGTCCTCATACATCTAGTCCTTGAACCCTTTTCTGTTTGTTTATAATGTAGCTTTTGAACACTTTTTAAAGAATTTTAAGCTTACTGCATGTCTGAAATGATCATAATACCGACAATGCCTTGAGCTGTTGAAATTAACCCTTTTCTCTTTCATTTATTAAAGAAAATTAGTATTTGCCGAAGCTGCTTTTTGTTAGTCTCATTTTGGTGCTGCATGTTTTTGTCTTTTCTTTCTACACACACACAAACACACACAAACACATGCGGACACACACATATATATGTGTATGTATGTATGTATGTATG